TCACCCAACAAGAGACTATAGCCCAACCTATAAAAACTATAACTATAAAAGACAGACTAGAAATAAACATTAAAAAATAAGCAAGAGGAGCAATAATGGTAAGAGAACATCTGTCTGATCTTCATGAATATAATCACTGGGACATAATGTTTTATATCCCAGTGTTCTGAAGGAGCTGAGAAATATTATCTCATAACCATTGTACCATATCTTTAAAAACATATTGGAAATTGGGGAACTACCAGAGGAGTGAAACAGAGCTGATGTGCTTTCCATCTTCAAAAAAGGGAAAGAAGCCAGACCCAGGAAACTACAGACCAATCCTAACATCAATACTTGGAAGATACTGGAAAAAATAACAACAACAAAAACCCAAATCTGTGATCATCTAGAAACGAATAAAGTTATAACTAATAGCCAGCATGACTTTGTAAAAAACAGATCAGGCCAAACCAATCTTATTTCATTCTTTGACAAAGTTACTAAATTAGTAGGCCAGCAAAATGTTGTGGACATAGTAATATTTAGTCTTCATCAAGGCAATTGACAAAGTAGACCACAACCTCCTTCTTGATAAGCTAGAAAAATGTGTGATATACAGCATCACCACCAGATGGATTTGTAAGTGGCTGACAAACCATACTCAACTAGTAATCCTTAACAGTACTACATCTAAATGGAGGGAAGTAAGCAGTGGGGCATTACAAGATTTTGTTTTAGGCCCAATACTCTTCCATACCTTCATAAATGACTTAGAGGAGGGAATACCAATAGAAGGAGAACTCATCAAATTTTCAAATGACACTAAACTGGCAGGAATAGCCAACACTCCAGAAGACAAACTCAGGATCCCCAAAAGATCTTAACAGACTTGAATAATGGGCCATCTCAAACAAAATGAAATTTAATGAGGAGAAAAGCAAAGTTTTACATTTAGGCAGGAAAAACCAAAGGTAGAAGTACAGATTAGGTGAAACCTAGCTCAAAAACCGTAATTGTGAGAGAGACCTCGGAGTCCTAGTCAACAATTACTTAAACATGAGTCAGCAGTGTGCAAGAGCAACCAAAAAAATCTAATGCAACTCTTGGTTGTATAAAAACAAAGGCATAGAATCAAAATCATGTAGTACCACTTTATAAAGCCTTAGTAAGGCTACACCTGGAATATTGCATCCAGTTTTGGTCACCACATTTCAAAAAAGATTTTGAGACTTTGGAAAAAGTGCAAAGAAGAGCAACTAAAATGATTAAAGGCCTGGAGACTAAAACATATGAAGAATGGTTGCAGGATTAGGGCTTGGCTAGTCTAAAGCAAAGAAGGACTAAGGGTGGTATGATAGCATTATTCCAGTATTTGAGAAGCTGCCACAAAGAGGAGAGGGTCAATTTACCTTTCAAATCACCTGTAGGCAGGACAAGAAATAATGGAAGGAAACTAAAGAAAAGAAGCAATCTGGAATTAAGGAGAAACTTCCTAATAGTGAGAATAATTGATCAGTGGAACAACTTGCCTTCAGAAGTTGTGGGTGCTTCATCACTGGAATTTTTAAGAAGAGATTGGACAGTCAGGCACCTATCTGAAATGGTATGCTTGCTGCTTGAGCAGGGCTAGACTAGAAGACCTCCAAAGTCCCTTCCAGCTCTCTTCTGATTGATTTAATACAGTTACAGAGGTTACAGTTAAGTAAATAGAGAATTGAAATAAAACAGGATCTTATAATACTGATAAGTGTTTGATTTTCAAGCTCTTCACCTCCAAGTACTATTTATTTATCAGATAGAAATGATTAGGTGTGTTTCTATTACTTTAGAAAATGACTTGAATATAATTTATTCTGAACTCAGGGCAGGCATAATGTCAGAGTATATTCATAAACTGGAATAGATCATAGTAACAAGGTCAGCCAATGAATAGGCATAGCAACTAAGTCAGCCAATGAGGACTGTTTGGAAACTGAAACTAGAAGTAGCCTAGGCATGGCTCTATATTAGGTTCTGCAGCTCTGAAGCTATGTTAAGCTCTGAGTCTGTCTATTGAAAATGAAACTGCTTCTCTCCTTTGCTGTGTATGTTGTTGCCTGCTGAACTAAAGTGAAACTGATGTCTGTTACTGAGCTCCTGAGTTGCTGTTCTGCTCTGAACCTGTAACATGTCTGCTTCTGTTTGAGTTTGCTCCATGTTGGAGAAATCTACAACTGGCATTGTAAAATTTACTTTATAGGTTTATAAAGAAGTAAAATGAAGCCTCAGTCATCTGTGTTTACTTTTCTGGTGCTGAATTTATGCTGCAATACTCTGAACACATAACAGATTAATGGATCTGAAATGAAAACACACAATAGATAGCCAGCAATTTTAGTCTCTGTAAAGATGTTTTAGGAAAACGAACGAAAATTGTATTTTTCTTTCTTCTATTCTTTACTGATTAACTAAATTGAATGTGATGCGGTTGGATGCCAGGTTGGGGTGGAGAATGAGAATCATAAAAACAAAATGATGATGTTTCTTAAGCCAGAATCTACTATTTTATTTTCCGTAATGAAACATTAATGCAGAATGTGAACATACAAAGCACTTTAATTTTGTTTTCAGCAGACTGTAAGGTAATCTTCTATAAGCAGGGAAAGCTACAGATTTGCATATCAATCTTAAATTAACATTAGTGTTCTAATGTTAATTCAAGAACCGGTATGGTTATTGACTAGGTTATGCAGGGAACACATCTGAAGAAAGATTGTGAGCTGGAGGGTTGGAGTAGATCTTATTCAAATTTCACTAACAAGGACTATTGGAAATAATCTTAGAAATCTGAATAAATGCTTGCCATTGACAAAAACAAAATATAGGACAAGGTGTTTCCTAAGTTCTGCTATTCCTGAGTTAAGGATTGCAATTTGGTTTTAGAAACATAATGGTTATTGCTACCTAAAAGAGTGATCAGAATGAAGAAGCCTATTATTAGTATCTTGTTTTATTCTGCTTGGTCTGGCATCTCCTGGCTCAATCCTTAGGATCCAGCGAATCTTTTATGTTTTCTCTTTCCAGAATAGAGCATTATGTATATTTCTGTATTTTACCCATCCTCTTCGTCTTCCAGATAACCAATCTATTCTGTTTCTTATGGGACTTGAACTTATGAAGGCTTACATGATCATGCGAAATGATTTGTGATATCATAGCTATGTAGTAAGAGCATTGAAAAAGACTTAGCTGCTTATACTAGTTACTTTTCAAAGAAAAAGAATGCCTAATCTCATATGTCAATAAGATTTTTAAAAACCTTAGTATGGCTCCATTATTCCTGAATTTTCTCTAACCATTGGAAAAAATCTGGGTGTACTTCTAAATTTTGAAGAGTCAAACTCAAAAATATTAAACATTCCTTGTCTACGTCATTAGTTAAAAAATTTAAAAGTACTATTAACTAAAAGGCTTTTTTTTTTAAATGATTAAAAGAACAGTTTTTTTAAACCACAGTAGGATGTTAGATAATACAAAATTGCCACTTTTAAGCAGTATCATAGTCTTAATTAATGTTTAACTGTTACCAATTTCAGTAAATAATTTTGTAATAATTTTGTCTCATTGTTTTATAATCTGCCTTGCTAGGAGTAGCAAAAGAGCAGGTTAATTAAATTCCAAAACAGCAGACAGAAAAGATAGCAATTAATCCTACATTCTTTCACACACTAATATTATAGATTCTATTATAAGCTGTTATTAATATCATTTTGATCATAATGATAATAAGAGCCAATTATCTGCTTTTGAAGTTCTGTTCAGCAAGGTGGTTTATGCTGTACAGAGGAATGAAGATATTAAGATAGCATCTCAAAAATGATACATGATAAGTGGATCCTACCATTTTTCCAGAAAACAAAGAATCACCAGGCCAATCCATTCCATCTTACTTCATGGATAGTGATTTATGACTAATATTAGATATTTGAAGATTTTTTTTAGGAATGTTAATATTTACCAACCATTCTTACCATTTTAAGAAATTCAGAAGAAACATGAAGACAAAAATGAAATTTTATCACATATCTATTCGTAAAAAATCATCAACAAGAACATCTATAGGTTTCTGAAAGTTACAACTTTTATAAGGGGATGTTATAAATAGCATTTAATTAATGATCAGCATTTATCAGTTTCATGCTAGGGTTGCTGGCAGTTGCATTAATCAAAAGCCATATATTTCATATAACACTTAAAGGTGTACACAGCCATATCCATGATCTTTATGCTAGATGAAAATAATTGACATTTCTGAAAGGTGAAAGCAGATCCACTGCTGGATGAAAATGATAAGTGCAGTATTAAATTATGAACATTTTAAATATCTTCATAATCTTATGCCTGGGATAATTCTAATTCTGTTTTCTGGTTTGATTGGATATTACTTTTCTATATATATAAATTAGACAGAATGAATTATTATATTAACTTTTAATTATTTATAGTTAAGGTTTGTATGCTGCCTCATTTCTTTGGTCTAAATGCCTTATAATATAATGTGATACAAAAGCAATAAGTAAAATAAAAATAAATGCTTATACCAGAATTGGTCATTAATTATCAATATTTCTAATAATAAAATCATCTCTAACAATCAAAAAAATAAGTATCAGTCTTAGTATCAGTGATCTTGTACATATTGTCAGAAACCAAAATTATATCTCAGGATTTATAACAGCCATTCCTTGAAGTCTCTGTGAAACAGGAGCTTCTTGATTTCCTTATTGATAAATAGGAGCTCTTCTATCTTCTGTGGGACATACTATTCCAAAGGACAAAAGCCATAGTAGAAGCAAGGGGTTTCCCGACTTTTACCTCAAATTCAAGACTTGCAAGATGTCCCTTTCTTCTAGTTTATCAAACACTTCGTTAATTCTGTTCAGAATAGATAGTCTCAAAGATATTCCAGTTTACTAGATGTAATGAAAAAAAGAAAAGTTTATCATGTTTCTCACAATTATGTTTGTTCTTATTTTTAGGAACGACTCCTGATGAGCCTTTTGCCCAGAAATGTTGCCATGGAAATGAAGGAAGATTTCCTTAAGCCACCTGAAAGAATTTTCCATAAGATTTACATTCAGAGGCATGACAATGTTAGGTAGGATTGATATGAACTTACAAAATAAATCAGGCTGTATAAACTTTTCATGTATCTACAGTAATAAGAGGCAGTGAAAAGTAAAAACACAGGCAATGAAAATCTGAGTGTCTGCAAGTTAAGAGTGTATCAACTTATTTTGAGTCAGTAAAGTAGAAAATGCCATGCTAGTTTTTAACAGAGATGAACAGTGTTTTCATGAAACTCTTCACAGGATGTTTTGGAATCCAAGTTAGTTACTAAATTTTAGGTTTCATTTGGAACAGAAGCCCTCAATGATCTCCATGACTGAAGAATTATTTGGCCTGGTGATTTTTTTAAATTCAGAATTTAGCTGAACGTGTTACAGGAATTCTTTTCAGATACAAACAGAAATGTTCTATTTCTGTCTATATTCCTTTTGACAAGCCCAAATTATACAATATTAATTTAGTATTTTTGACACTTACGTGAAACATCTAAATGACTGCTGTTTCTGCACAATATGGCATTTGCAGTTACACTACTTGAATATCAAAATGTCTGCTTATTTTTGATGTTTAACATAGATCTGAAAATAATAAAATACAGATTCTAAATTAATTTTAATTATTTTCTGATTCTCAGGATTGTGCAACTTGTTTCTTTCCTGTTTCACGGAGACTATTCTGTGTATTTTCTTATTACAATACCAAGATCCCGATAGAATTAGTTATATCTATTTTTTTTACAAATACTGGATGGTTTGTTTCTTGGCGAGTTTGATCCCACACTCACTACCTTTAGGGATATTATTCCACGTGACTCACATGCAAATGTGAGCAAAATTTTTACCTTTGCCTCCAAGCTTCAAAGAGCAAGAAGATATACTTATTTTACTGAACTGCTTCATTTATATATTTCATTGAATTCTGAATGTTTGTAGTATGATCTTTTATAGATAAAACTATTTAGAATTACATACCTGAAAATAAACTTGCATTTAGAATATCAGTCTGAAATCACTTGGAAGAAATCATAGAACAGTCTATAAAAAATAAGATGCTGCATCACCTGATGTCAAAAAGGCAATAAGGCATATTTATTTATTTTATTTATTTATTTATTGGAATTTGTCAAACAAAAACCCGAACAAAAATAAGAGAATAAAAATATAATGACAGGGACGATAGGCACATTACCTATGCAAGCCCCCTCTACTGACCACTTAATTATGAAGTAACGTCCATGGAAGTCCATTTGTGACTGAAACTGTGAAAATTTGTAGATGAGACAACTGAATCAGGTAGAACATTCCAGACTTTGACAACTCTGTTACAGAAATCATATTTCTTACAGTCAAGTTTAGAACGATTTATATTGAGTTTAAAACGGTTGTTCATGCACGTATTATTGCGATTAAAACAGAAAAACTCATTTACAGATAAAACATTACCACATATAATTTTGCAGTACCTAGGTCTGATTGCAAGCGACACAGTTCTAAGTTATCCAAACTGAGAATTTGAGCCTAGTAGCGTAGGAAATTCTATTGTGTACAGAAGAGTGCAAGTACTTCTGAATCCGCTCAATTGTACTGATGTCAGATATATGGTGGTGATTCCAAACAGTTGAATAATACTCTAAAATTGGTCTACATAAGTTTTATAAGCTCTAATTAGTAATACAATGTTTCCAGAAAAAAAGCTTTCCAAAATTAAGTTTACAACTCTTAATGCTCTTTTAGCAATGCTGTTACAGTGAGCTTTGGAGCATAGATCATCAGAGATAAGTACACCTAGGTCCTTAACAAAGTGAGGGTCTTCTGCTAGATCAATGCCATCTAGCTTATACTTGACATTCTGATTACGTTTACCAATATGTAAGGCAGAATATTTATTAATCAAAATTTGAAGTTGCCAAACAAACACATAGTTGAGATCACTTTGCGAAACAAAGAATTATTTGTAGAATTGAATAATTTTACATCATCAGCAAAAAGAATGTAATTGCTTTTAAGCTGATCACATAAATTGTTGATATAAAACAAAAAAAGTGTGGGACCTAAAACGCTGCTTTGCGGAACACCACTGTTAACTGATGCAGGATTAGATGGCAAGTTCTCTATTTTGACTTTCTGCAGTCTTTTAGACAGGAAAACAACAATCTACTTGTGCGAATGTGCAGAAATGCTGTAAGAGTTTAATTTCAACAGCAGTTTATCATGTACTACTGTATCAAAAGTCTTACAAAACTATGTAAATTGCATCTACAGCTTTACCTTGATCAAGACATGTAGCCCAGATGTTTTTACAGTGCAAAAGTTGTAAATTACAGGATGAGTTTTTCTTAAACCAAACTGTTTGTCGGGTAGCACATTATTTGTTTCTAAATGGTGAACAATGAATTGATTTATAATTGATTCCATAACTTTGTATGTAATACAACACAAAGAAATTGGTCTATAATTTTTGACTGAACTAGATCACCCTTTAAAAAAATTGGTATAACTATAGCTGATGACCATAGATCTGGCAGGGAACTAGTTCGAAACAATACTTCAAAAATTGTACGCAAAGGTTCAGTTAGGATGGTAGCAAGCTTTTTCAGAAAAAAGCACATAATCCATCTGGTCCTGTGGATAGCGATGGCTTTAGATTACATAATGCTAATTCAACATTATCTACTGTAAATTTAATATTCAGCAATATTGCTAACAAAACCTCTGGGTTGTTGCTTTTCTTCCTCAAGTTCCCTTTTCACATCCATCATTCAGAATCCATCTCTCTTTCATTACATACCTCAATCCAGTAGGAAAGCTAGCATTTGTTTAGGGAAAATTCAGGATTGTTTTGAAAACACCAATTGGGACATCTTTTACCACCCTGACCTAGAGAAGCACACTGCGACTGTTTTGTGTGATATCAAACACTGCACATATACTACCACTGTGGATAAATGTATTAGGATCTATCCCAATCAGAAACCCTGGATGACCAAGAAAGTCCAGCGCCTCTTGCATGTTAGGACCTTTAGGTCTGGTGATGGGGTAAGATACAGTGTTGCCAGAGCTAATCTGAAGAAAGGTATTTGGAAGGCCAAGACTGATTATAAGAGGAAGATTGAGGATAATTTTTATAGCAATAACATGAGGCAGGTGTGGCGAGGGATTCAACAAATTACCAATCATCAATTGACCAATGTCACCCTGCTGAGGGGGATGCTTCATTGGCAGAGGAACTGAATCATTTCTTTGCTCGCTTTGAAGTGGAGACATAGAGACAGCTAAAATACAACTACCAGCCAATTGTAGCCCCCACCTCATTGTAGAGGAACAGGAGGTGAGGAGCATTCTGAGGGCTGTGGACCATAGAAAGGCTGCCAGTCCTGACAGTATCTCTGGTGAGTGCTTAAAAACACTGCTGATCAGTTGGCTGGAGTCTTTACCAGGATCTTCAATCAGTTTTTATCCCAGTCCACTATTCCATCTTGTTTGAAGGCTTCCATCATTGTTCCGCTGCCAAAGAAGTTCTCTATCAATAACCTCAATGATTACAAACCAGTGGCACTCACTCCTATCATCATGAAGTGCTTTGAGAAATTGGTTTGTCGGCACATCATTTCTGGTCTTCCACATACATTTGATAAACACCAGTTTGCATACAGAAGAAATAGATCTACAGAGGACGTTATAGCCATCACTCTTCACACTGCTTTGACTCATCTAGAACATCGGGGAGGGGGGTTATGTAAGGATGCTTTTTGTAGATTTTAATTCTTCATTTAACACAATTCTTCCACATAAACTAGTGTGCAAACTTGGACTTTCTTATTCAATCTGCCTTTGGATTATGGATTTCCTGTCTGGCCACTCACAGTGAGTCAGATTAGGTAATACCTCTTCAGCCCTTATTCTTAACACTGGTACACCATAGGGTTGCGTGTTGAGTCCCTTATTCTATACTCTTTATGTGCATGACAGCATTCCCACTCACACTAGTAATACTATTACTAAATTTTCAGGTAATACAACAGTGGTGGGGCTCATCTCTGGGGGGATGAGTCTGCCTACCAAGATGAGGTGGATTGGTTGCTTTGATGGTGTTGAGACAATAACTTGGTCCTCAACACCAATAAGACCAAGGAGCTTATATAACGGACTATAGAAGGAACAAATCAGACATCCAGCTTATCAATGGAGACAGAGTGGAGCAAATGGCCAGTTTTCAGTTTCTGGGTGTTACCATAAAAGAGGACCTGACCTGGGGTGCTCACATTGCAGCACTGGTCAAAAGGGCCCAGCAGAGATTATACTACCTGAGACTTCTCAGAAAACAACAACTGAATGAAAAACTGCTGGTGACCTTCTACCGCTGCACCATAGAGAGTATCTTAACTTACTGCACCTGTGTATGGTTTGCCAATTGCACAGTGGCAGATAGGACAGCACTCCAGAGGGTTAACATCATTGCCCAGAAGATCATTGGTTGCCCCCTCCCCTCTTTGGAAGAACTTTATAGCTCCCACTGCCTTAAGAAAGTTCAAAACATTCTCAAAGATCCATCTCATCCAGGCACCCTTTTTTTGAACTATTATCATCTGGGAGTCAGTACAGAATAATAAAAACAAGGACAAATAGGCTGAAAAACAGCTTCTATCCAGAGCAGTAGTTCTGTTGAATTCTACTATATAGTGCAGTCGGGGTTTTTCAATTCAATGTGTGGAGTGTGAAGGTTGTGTGTTTGTGTTTGTTTTCATGGTCATGATGTGCACTAAAGATGGTGTTTGATTTCGTTGTATGAGGTGCAATGACAATAAAGTAAAGTAAAATAAACTAACCTATTAAGTAAATTAAAACATTCATTCTTATAAAAGGCTGGCAAAAAGTATTCCAGTTTACCTCTTGAGAACTGTTACCCCACGCCTTTCTCTGATAAGTGTTCTATTCCCACAACATTCCCTTGTTGGGTGAGTGGTTTACTGTTTCACCAGCACTTCCCATGTTCAAGTCGTTCATAGTTGAATTGTATGCAGTGT